TTGTGCGAAGATATGAGGGTCCTTTCCGAGTCGTGAAACGGGTAGGCACCATGGCCTACAAATTGGAGTTGCCTCCAACCATCCGAGCGTATCCCGCCATCCATGTTAGCCTGCTCAAACTGTACCAACAAGATACTGAGGATCCAGATTGAGGCAAGTCACACCGAGTGCCAGTCGAAGTAGCGGTCTCCTATGACAAGGAGATCCAAGATATACAGGCGGAGAGAGTTATTAGACGACTAGGACACCGCCCGAGGCATGAGTACTTTCGTTTTGTGGAAGGGACACCCGAGTGCGAAGGGAGTTGGGAGCATGCCGAGGGACTCTGGCAATTCAAAACCCGAATAGGTCAATTTCATGCCAGACGAGTGACGAGGGCGTCACCGGAACGAGTGGGGGAGAATGTCACGCACACAAGCCCACAACCGAGGTTAGCCCATGAAGAGCAGCCCAAGTGGTGTGGAACGAGGGGAGATGTCACGACACAAGCCCACAACCGGTTAGCCCATGAAGAGTAGCCCAAGTGGTGTTTTGGACCTTCTAGAAGCCACAAAGACTTAGGTGGCATTTAAATATGTATAGATAATGCCCACTTGTTTTTGGTAGGTATGGAGTTAATCTCGACCATCAATGTAATTAGATCTTAGCCGTTCATTGAGGGGAGCTTTAGCTATAAATAGAGGTCTCCCCTCCTCATTTGTACTCACTCCTTCACTTTGAGAAATCATAAGAGCATTCTTCTCTCAAAGTTTTCTTATCTTCCTTCTTGTGCTAGTTCTCTTGTCCAGCTTCCGTCGAGATTCTAAGCATCCTTGCTTGGGATATTTTCAGGCTTACTTAGCCGCAATCACTAAGAAGGCGACTAAGGCCGCACGTTCTGAGGCGTCGAAGTTCCAAGGGCGTGACATTATGATGAGTACAAGATTTCCACCAAGTTATTGGGAGCTTGAGTCTCGGAAATTTTCAGTAATTACTATTCAATTCATAATTAATTTCATGGCTGATAAATGGACTGTTTAATCTGATAGATTCGTCTGTTCACATACAATGTCATAAATTGCATTAATTACATTTCCACAGCTAATTCAAATTCCAAACCTTACTAAAGGTTCAATGAATCCACGCCTTCCAATCTTCCAAGCAGTGCAATCAATTACAAATGAGAGTTTCAAGAAGAGATTGGATTCCAATACCCAAGTTTTAAAAATTGTATATAAATTGGTGAGGACATTGCCTCGAGTCTTTCATTTCAAGAATGGCTTCAGTGAATCAACTCATAGGAACTGAGTTCGTAATGGTGGATGGAACTGCGTTGGTGACCGAAGTGCCGACAGGTTATGAAAGGATGGAACTTTGCCTTTCTTTCATTTATTAAGACTTGATTGAGCATCAAGGCATGGTTGTCGGTTTAGACATAACATGGAGTCGATTAAAATTCGAATTAACCCACCAAACTGAAATTTTGTTTGGTTAATTTGATTTTAGTTTGATTAACGGTTAATAAAATTTGCAAAATTAACGATTAATTTGGTTCAAAATATTTAATATATTATATATTATATATACTTTTAAGCTCAAACTCATTAATAATTAAGGCTCAACTATTTTTTAACCATATTATACTCACTAAAGTTTTAAAACTCAATCAAATTTTAATCCAAATGAAAAAAGTACCTTTATTAAATTTAAACTAATATAATGAAAATATTTTTCAAAAAAATTCGGTTCGATTAACGATTCCAGAAAAATTTCGGTTAATTTATTTTTGACTAATTCGATTTAATCGGCGGTCGAATTAACAACATGCTTATTAAAATAGCTTGTCATCGTCTTTGGTTCGGAGTCTCAACCTATTTTGTGTTATGGATATTCATGTGTAGACATGATTTTGGAGAGAAAAAAAAACTTGAAAGAAATTAACGTAATGCCGTCCAACATTGACAACATAGCTTGAACTGCTGGTACAATAACTATTAGTAAGTTTTATTCAATTGAGAAATTCATGTAATATTATAGATTCTAATCGAAATTATTATTTAATATATAAAATTTTAGAGTGAATATGGTAGCACTTTCGGTTGAAACAGAAAATATTACGTTGTCTATACTAAATAAGATAAATCAGATCACTTTTCAAGTTAAAATATAAAAAAGGTACTATCAATTGTAATTTTTATTAAATGGAAAAATTCATGTAATATTATAGGTTGTAGTTGGAGTTATTATCAAATGTTTACACTTTTACAGTGGACAATGTAATGTTATTATTTCGGGTTTATTTGATGTTGGTTGGTAGTGGTCTGGGTTTAATGTGGTGTGTAATGCAGTGGTTGACTTGGGTTGTAGACTTGTTGATTCGGGTTTATTTGATGTTGGTTTATGGTTTGGGGTTTGGGTTTGGGGCTTGGGGCTTAGGACTTAGGGTTAGTAGATTTAGAATCAATTGCTTTATTGGGTTGTTGAAGTGCAGGTGAAGCTGCCTGGATGTGGAAGCATGTTTTATTGATTGTTGTGTTTGTCCACTTCAAAGTGGATAACTCTGCAGGTTGATATAGGTTCTGCCGTGGCTCTCGTGGGTTGGCAAAGCTTAGTGTTGGGATTAAGCTATACTGTGTTAGTCTTGGGCCATGTACTTTTATTTTATTGTTAATCCCCATTAGCAAGGGTTGGTCAATTGACATTTGTTTGGGATACTCTTTTTTTCTTCGTTTAAGTTAGGGAGTTTTTTTAACGAGGTCCCGACCAATGTTGTTGTTTTTATATGTTTCGACTGGTTGAATAACATACAAGACACCCTTTTTAATATATATATATATATATATATATCACCTACTTGTTTACCACATTTAAGACGTCAAAACATCGGTAGCCCTTTACGCTCTCGTTTTGTTGTCAACATTAAAGATGGCTCAATTTTGATAGCCTAAATCACTTATTTTTAACTAATTGTTTTACCCTATTTTTATGCATCATAAAATTTGATATTTATACTAAAATTAATAATATTACCAATCACTCATTTAATATGCGACAAAACTATTTATGCAACGTAAATTTCAAAAGTTACAGAAATTACAAAATGTTAATATGTATTCTAAATAGTTATTTCTCATCATTCTAAAAGTTAAGAGTTGCTTTTTATTTATATTTATAGAATCAAATACTTGGACATCAGAAATTTTTATTCTATAATAATTCTTAATTAAATAAACTTAATCATAAAATAATCTTCAACGAGTACAATTACAATAAGATTTAATTTAATTTCTAATTAGAATTTGAATTAATATCTAACAAGTCCAAGTAGTGCAATCAATTACAAATTAGAGTTTCAAGAAGAGATTCAATTTGAATACCCAAGTTTTTAAAACTGTATATAAATAGGTGAGGACATTGGCTGGTCATTACGAGTCTCATTTCAAGTATGGCTTTAGTGAATCAACTCAGAGGAACTGAGTTCGTAATGGTGGATGATACTTCGCTGGTGACCGAAGTGCTGGCAGATTATAAAAGGATGGAACTTTGCCTTTCTTTCATTTATCAAGATCTGATCGAGCATCAAGACATGGTTGTTGGTTTAGACATAACATAGGTTGGATCTGATCCATATTATGCGGTACTGGTAATCTGCACTCGGATTGGCTGCTTACTAATGACGACGTTTCAAAGCGGTTGTTTGTGCCTTAAACGTTTCTTACAAAACGAGGACATTATATTTGGTGGCGTTCATATGAAAGAGGATGTTGAAAAGCTGAGGGGTTTACTCTCACGGGGTGCAATCAGGAACGCGGCGGATATCGGTGAATTGGCGTCGGATGTGCTTCATCAGCCTCGGCTTCGTGCGGTCGGTGTGAGAAAATTTGGCATCCGAGGTTCTTTTGTTGCCCTTCAAGTTGAGGCCTTTCAGCATGACCGCAGATAACTGGATTAAGCCGTGGGGTCTGAATAGAGACCAGATTGAATGTGTTACATCATCTCTTTCTGCTTTTGGCCTCCATTCGCCTCGATAGAACTCATTACCATGATACCTAACCTCACAACCTCATTGATCTAGGGTTCCTCCTCCTCTTTGAATAATTCGACTTGGTTTGGGTAATTTCGCAACTCGTGCGGCCTCTTGGTGGCTGATGATTTGAAAAATTTTATGTTTGAAGGAGAAAAAAAGAAAAGGGGTTTGAATTAATGTTCTGTAATTATTAATTTTACCATTAATGCAGTGTTAGACTAATGACTTTGAATATGTAGCTACTAATACTTATGAGTATGACAGTTTGTTGGGTCTTGAAAATTTTAAATTATCATATATTTAAGATATTTTTTATATTTATTATTAATAATATGTTTTCGTTTATAAAATTTTATAAGTTTATCTTCTCTATAATTTTTAGAAATTCGCTGTCCAGCGTAAAATTTTACATCCGTCTTTGTTTATTTCACAAACAAGCATTTAATCGGCATTGTCAAGCATGCATTCTTGAGTTTTAAGAAGGCATGGTTAATTCTCTGCAATGTGCTGCTTGAACGTTACATTTTAAGTAATTCATATTTCTATTTCGGCAAGTAAAAAGGTAATTTTTTAATAATCTGGACGAATACAAGATGATATTTGTTTATAATCTTTCGTAATCATTGATAACACACTCTACATATACAACTGTTTAACCTTGAAATCTCTAAAAAAAAATCTTTTTTTTACTACTGAAGTCGCTTGATGAATATCATATGAATGAAAAGATTTTAAGTATGAACATTTCAAAATTATGTTATATCTAATGCAAAGTGTCTTCCGTTATAGGTTTGTGTTTTACTATAATGTGTCTGTTACGGATTATTCAATTGTTATCTATACTTAACTCGACTGTTGCAGTGATTAACAAGTTTCCATCTTAAATGTCATCTTTGGTAACTGGTACAACACATAACCCCAGCTGCAGTTCACTTCCAGATTTCAAAACCATTTCAAGTTTTAAAATGAATTCCGATTTCTCTCTGTCTGAAGAATGGCAGAGGCGATTGCTTCAGTGATCTTGGAGCAGCTGACTGCAATCACAATCGACAAAGCATGCGAAGCGTGGAGCCTGGTGAGAGGTGCTGAGAAAGAGGTCAAAAGGCTCGAAAGCAATTTCAAAGCACTCCAGTTAGAGCTTGAGGGTGCAGAAGAAAGAGAATACCTGGACAAACGGGTGAAACATTGGTTAGACAAGTTCAAAGATGTGTCTTATGACATGGAGGATGTACTAGACGACTGGGAAACTGCAGTCCAGCGGTTGCAAAGCGATGGGGTTGGATCAAGTAGTTCCGGCTCGGTTCGAAAATGGAAGTTGTGTCCCTTCATTTCATGCTTTTCTTCTGGTTCACAAATCGTTAGGCGATATGATATTGCTGCCAAAATAAAGGAAATCAATGAAGAAGTAGACCAGATTGTTAATGACAAAGTTCGGTTCGAATTGATAAAGAAAGACATTAAGCAACACAAGCAGAGGCTAGAGAGCACATCTTTTGTTGATGTTTCGGAGTTGATCGGTCGAGATGCCGTCAAAGAAGACATAATAAGGATTTTTCTATGTGAAGAAAGGAGTCGAAATGTTCCTTCTATCACCATAGTGGGGATGGGAGGGACTGGCAAAACAGCTCTAGCACAACTAATTTATAACGATTCTACAATTCAGGCTCATTTCAGCAAAACAATTTGGGTTTGTGCCTCGGATCCCTTTGATCAAAGCCAAATTGCAAGAGCAATTCTTGCGGATCTCGATCTTGATGCATTAGTATCCCTCAATACTCCAACACTACAAAATATTTTACGGATAATCACCGAGAAGCTTAAAGCAATAAAATTCCTTTTCGTTTTCGATGATGTGTGGACGGATCGTGATCAAGATTGGGAACCACTAAAAGCCGCATTTAGATACGGCATGCTCGGAAGTTGGATTTTATTGACTACTCGTAACGAGTCTGTTGCTAGGCAAATGGAGTCGTCTCATGTTGTTCCTTTAGAACTGTTACCGGAGAAAATGTGTTGGTTGATACTTGCTCAGAGAGCCTTCAGCGGAAGGAACCGGGCGAGTCGTGCTAATTTGGAAGACATCGGAAGGGAGATTGCGAAGAAGTGTAGAGGTTTACCGCTTGCAGCAAAAGCTCTAGGAGGTCTCCTGCAAAACAAACGAGGAAGAGAAGAGTGGCAGAATGTTTTGGATAGTGTGATATGGAAATCGGGATTTGGACAAGAAATATTTTCGCCTCTATTGTTGAGTTATTATGATTTGCCCTCGCAGATAAGACAATGTTTATCATATTGTGCAATCTTCCCTAACAACTACACGATTAATAAATATGAATTGGTCCAGCGTTGGATGGCACAAGGTTATTTGAACTCTGATGACAGTGTAAGGAGAGAGTTGAAAGGGGAAGAGTACTTTGAGTACTTAGCCACCCGATCTTTTTTCCAAGATTTTAAGAAAGATGCTCATGGAAACATAATTTCCTGTAAGATGCATGACCTGGTACATGAGTTTGTGCAGTTCTTGACTGAAGACAGATGTGTGACAGAAGAGGTGGTCGGAGATTCAACGTTGGACTTATCTTGCAAAAAAGCTCGTCATTTGAGGTTGGTAATTCAAAATTGCAAGTCTTCTCCTTTGTGCATTAATGGCATAGAAAAATTACGAAGCCTTGTCGTAGCCTCTGATGACAAAACATCCGGCGATGCCCTGCAAGATTTGTTTAGTCGATCGAAGCTTCTAAGGCTATTAGAGTTCGATTCGTTTCATCTACGCCCCGAAGAAATCGTATGTGGCATGGAAAATTTGATTCACTTGAGGTACCTTAGCTTGATATCTTGCTCTGGACTAGAAAATTTACCTGAAGCAGTGTGTGAATTGATTAGTTTACGGTCGTTGAATCTTCGAGATTGCTTGAATCTCAAGAAATTGGCTGTCGGAATCGGAAAACTAATTAACTTGAGGTATCTTTGTATCAAGGACTGTCCTCGTCTGACTTACTACCCTAAAGGGATCAGTAATTTAACCTCTCTGGAGACATTAAGTGGTATCCAAATGAGAATAGATGGAAGTGATGGTGATCAACTCAGCATTGGGGATCTAGAAAAGATGGACCTCCTAGGCGGATATCTCTCCGTTGAGCTGATCGGAGATGCATTAGATTGGAATGAAGCAAAGAGAGCCAAACTTCACAACAAAATACATCTCAAGAGAATGGATATATGGATCTGTTCCAAAAATATAAAGGAAGAAGAGGTTCTACAAGCATTGAACCCACCATCCAACTTCCCTGTAGTACTGTTTGATTACCAGAAATGGTTCGATTCTTACGATGCTTGCTTGAAGAGGTTGAATGTAAAGGAGAATATTAGAGTTGCTCTCATCGTTCAACAAGCAGCTCTTCAGTTTGTAGATTGGGCTGAATTCTTTGGTAAGAAAACCTGATTCTTCCTTTTATGATTAGTCATTTCTTTTAGTCTAACTAAGGGCAATGAATTACATTTAGTTTTCGATTTCGAATCGTGTTATCATTGTACTATGTTGTTGTTGATAACCGAGTACGATCGATTTATGCAGAAAATGGTGAGGATCCAACTGATTGAAAGCATCAGAAAACCAGGTGAAAACAAAGGTTTTGTTTCACCAAGTTGTTCAATGTTCATGTTTATCTGCTTCATGATAGCTAATTTGGGCTAATTATTATGTATGATTGTCCCAACTCTGTGTAGGAATTTGTGTGCTTTTATATTGTGTTGGGATTTATATTTCATTATTTGCATCTTTATTATGTGATTCTGATTACTACTGTAATTTGTTCCTTGGACTCATTTATGTTATGCTTTTGCTTATGAGGTATTGGATACATTTTATTTCTTATTTGAGTTAATTGCATCACATGCCTCCAAACTATGACCCTTATTTTAAATTGGTCCGTAAACTTTTAAATGTTCTACTTTCACCCTTAAACTATAAACACCATTTTAAATTAGTTAAACTTTTGAACATTTCAATTTCATCCCTAAACTATGACCTTCAATCTAAATTGATCCCTAAACTTTTTGAATATTCTAATTTCATTCCCTTTGATAATTTTACTTTTCATTACGTCCATCATTTTAGTCTTTTTTCCTAATAGAAGCCGCTAGTCTCATTAAAAAGTGAAAATATCTAAAATTGCAATAATGATTTATAATTATCATCGTAAACTAAATACATAATTTGAGCATTTTCTTATAACATTGAAACTAGCCACTTTAGATCATACAATGACTATGCATGGAAAAGGTTAAAAACCAACTAAAAGACTTGATTGAAAAATAAATATGAATAAATATGTTTTTTTTTTCACTCAACAATAGAAATTCTTTTTGTGGAACGAACCGAACTGGATCAAACTGTATGCCTTGTTAAAAACCTCCCTAATCCTAAGTGGAGGAAAAGAATAATACAATCTGATTGCATCGGCAAACGAACCACAAAAAGAGATTAAGTTATTAAAAGACCATCGAGAATCGCAAATCAAAGCCGAGCGTCGTGAGAAGCTATCCACAAACACAAAATCACATATCTAAAATTCAATCCTAGGGTCCATAGCAGGGAAGATCAACATGATTACATAAGCGTCATCTTGATCAGTCGTGGCGTCGTCAAATCTAACCCTGAGAACATAAAATAGAAAGAATCACCAAACGACTGAAAAAGAAGACAAAAAAGTGCCACAAAGACAAAATTATTCTTATTAAAAAGCCAAAAAACGAAGGGCAAAAAGAAAAGAAAATCGGCGATCGATAACCAACATCAAAACGGAACCGCTACCGACTAAACAAAATAAAAAAAAAGAAAAAGTTGATATAATCTATAGAAAGCAACGAAACCCTAAAAAGGAGAGAGTGGTTAGGGTTTTAAAATAAATTAAAAAGAATATTAAAAACTTATAATAAAAGTTGAAATTAAAAAATTGAAAGTATACATGTTTTATTTGTAACACCCCAAAAATTTAATTAAAAGAAAGTTGAGGACCAAATTACAAAATTTTAAAAGTTTATAGATCGATTTTGGAACCTGTAGGAAGTTCAGGACTTAGCATTGAATTTTCCCAAATTTTCTTGATTAGTTAAAACCCGATTAACCTCTTCAATCTCCAAATTGGAAAAATCCAATCCCTATTTCTTCCCCCACTGGCCTCAACGAATCCTTGTCATCCGACCACCTTTCATCCCGCTGCCGCCATCATTGTGCTTATCGTCGATCGACGACCAAAGCCTGACCACCATTCTATCATGGACGAATTCATTCATCATTAATTTCATCGCGAAGTCTCGTCGCGAAAACCAATCAATCATCACTGGTTTTCCGTTGATTCCGGCTAATTCTGACGTCGGGTTACCTCACCCCTCCAGCGCTGTGTTCCCCAAGCAATTTTGACCAGAACTGTTAAAAACATTTTGATATTTCGATATAACAAATTAAGTTAAATGAATTTTAAGATTTTTCAAATGATTTTCTAAGTATATTCAATATAATTATTCGAATATCAAAACGTTACTCCAAATATTTCAAAAATCATTTTTAATCCTTACTTAAGTGTAAAATTAAGTTTTAATCTTAAAACAATTTCAAAATAATCTTTCAAAGTATTTCGAACCATTTCAAAGCCAAAAATTCCAGATTCCTCAGAGGGAACCGATTCCCCCCAAGGTACCGATTCCCCCCTGAATGGTTTGGCTCCGAGATTTCCAGAATGCTCGGAGGGAACCGATTCCCCCCTGTTCAACGGTCGAAATATTTGAATTTTACACTTAGGGAACAGATTCCCTATGAGGGGGTACCGATTCCCCCCACGCTCCAAGCATTTTTATTAAATGTTTTCACACTTAAACGACTATATTATCTTCACTAATCATTCCCAACGTTCAGAAGTGATTCAAGGTGTATTTAAGCAAGCTTAGGAGCCATTGATCAATAACAAGAAATATCAAGCAACAAGAATCAAGAGAGAATCAAAGAGAAAGCATCAAACTCAAGTTTGAGCATTTCAAGCCTATTTTCATTCAATATTCATCTTGCTTTCAAGAACACATATTGTGCTCAATTGTATTCATCTTTGAGTGTTCTTTTCTTTGTTCTAGAATTGTGCAAACAATCTACCTTGTGAGGATTTCCTTGTAAGTTTGCAAAATTTGTATTGTTCTCTTTGGGAGAGAGCGTTCTCAAGAATTTGGGGTATAATTCTTGAGGGTTTGTAAGGTTACTCTTTGTCCTCAAAAGAAAGACAAATTAGTGAATTTGTGGAAAATCCTTAGTGTGGATAGCTAAGGTAGTGGACGTAGACTTTGATTGAGAAAGTCGATCCACTCTAAATCGCTGTGCAAATCTTTTCAATTTTCTGCAAAAGCTTCCACCGAAATTTTTATTGTCAATTCACCCTCCTCTTGGCCGATTCTGTCGATCGATTAACTCAACAATTGGCATCAGAGCCTAACTCATTTGAAGGTTTAATCGCCTCTTGAGTCGATTCGGGAAGAGTTATATCGATAATCAAAGTCATCAATGGCCTCCGCTTCAAACTTCGACTCCGGTCTCGATTCGATGCCCGTCAACAAGCCTCCTTTCTTCAATGGGGCTAACTATGCCTATTGGAAGAATAAAATGATGTATTTCATTCAAGCAAGTGATGGGAGCATGGAATGTCGTAGTAGAAAGATACATCAAGCCTCTCACTCATCCAAGATTGTGGAGTGAAGGAGGAGAGACAAAAATATTCCAGCTCAACTCCAAAGCCATCGATATCATTTTTTGTGCTCTTGGACCAGAAGAATATGGAAGAGTTTCTTCTTGTACAACCGCCAAAGAAATATGGGACAAACTTCAAGTCACTCATGAAGGTACCGATGAGGTAAAGAAATCTAAAATTAGTATTCTAACGCATAGCTATGAAAATTTCAGGATGAAACCAAATGAAGATATCAAAGCTATGACGGATAGATTTTCAACGATTGTCAATGGTCTCAAATCATATGGAGAGATCATCTCAAATGAAAAGCTTGTGAGGAAGTTAGTCTACTCCCTCCCAAAATCATGGCAATCAAAGAAGACGGCAATCATCGAGTCTAAGGACCTAACATCCTTAACTCTTAAAGAGCTAATCGGTTCACTTCTCACCCATGAAATGATGCTTGAAGATGAGGTGGACCTTGATAAGATTGAAGAGATACCAAAGGAGAAGGAGAAGAAGAAAAACATTGGAGTTGCTCTCAAATCCACAAAAGATGAGAGTAATTCGGATGAAGATGACGATGACGAGGAAATGGCATTGTTTGCCAAACGGTTCAGAAAAATGATGAGACCTTACCGAGGAAGAAAATTCAAACGAAATGAAGGCCTCAAAAATGAACCAAAAGAAAAGGACCCAATCATTTCCTATGAATGCAAAAAGCCAGGACATGTCAAATATGATTGCCCACAATTGAAGAGGAAGGGTCAATCAAAGAATAAGCACAAGGCTCATGTGGCTACATGGAGCGATGAAGAAGGTTCCGATGAAGAGGAACAAGAAGTAGCAAACTTGTGCTTGATGGCAATCGGGGAAGATTCTAAGGTAACCTCTAACTCATCTGATTTTGATGATTTATCTTATGATAAGCTATTAGAGGAATATAATGGGTTGGCTTCGGATTATGAGAAATTGTTTTTAAAATATAAAAATGATGTTTCAAAATTGAAAAAATGAAAATAAACTCATATCCAAAACCAATAACGATCTTGAAAGTAAAATCAAAGATTTGCAAATCAAACTAGAAGAGTTTGAAAAGAAAATTTTAGATTTGCAAAATTTACTTTCAAAGGTCAATGATGTTCATCAAAAGATTGATGATCTTAAAACTTCTTTTGATAAAGTTGGAACCAAACATTTGAATGGAGAAATTCGAAATCCACTTTGTTAGAAAAAGTTTTAAAAACTACAATCATAGAGGTCCCCAAAAAGCCTCTAATGGAAAAATCGTTAGAAGTATGGGTTCCTAAAGAACTCATTACTACTAAAGAAGTATATCTACACAAATGGATACCTAAGGGGACTAGAATTTTGGAAACTAATGAATATGGACCCAAAAGAATTTGGGTACCAAAATTAGAAATAATCTATGTTTGTAGGAAAAGGAGCATTGCTAAGGCACGGAAAACAAATTCAAACTCATGGTACTTGATAGTGGATGCTCAAGACACATGACCGGAGAAAAAGCCGGTTTATTAAGCTTAACGCCAAAAAATGGAGGAGAAGTGACTTTTGGTGATGATTCAAAAGGTCACATTGAAGGTATTGGTACTATTGGTATACCTCTTCCATACAATTAAAAATGTTTTATATGTGAATGGATTAAAGCATAATCTATTAGTATTAGTCAATTTTGTGATAAGGGATTCAATGTCATGTTTGATATTAATGG